TTTTTTTTTTTTTTTGAATCCGTACATAACGGTATGAAGCGCTAAGAAAGTACTTGTTGATTAGGAGTTCAAAAATTTGCCTTTATTAGTTCTCGAAATTTTTGAACGATGTAATTCATTGATATTATAAGCTGTTATGGCTAAAAATTTCTAATGAAATATAAAAAATTTGGAACAGATATTTTTCCAGCGGATTCGCTTTTCACTCATTCCTATGGTTAAGCTGAGCCTTCAGTTAGAAATTCGTTAATCGTATCATAGCTTTTTGCTAGGCATTTGCTTCATTAATTGAAAAGTCAGCTGCTTCATAGAACCACTTAGATGGAACTTTTTAAGACGCTAACTAGTACTGTCGTTTCACTTAATTGCTTTATCCATTGCTTTCAGACTGTATCAAGAATAGATAACTTCATATATTTAGTTTTTTACTGCACACGGTTCCATATCTCTTTGAGCAGGGTCTTCGCAGTAGGCAGAAGCCGACTTTAGGAAATGTAATTGTTTGTAAGCGAAATAAGTAGGTAAGTGCTGCTGGGGTTTTTTTGTATTTTCTAAGTAAAACTTTGTCCTCATTTCCTCTATTCTTGAAACAAAATGATTATTAGTATACTGCTAACTTCAATTGAAGGCTCTACTGGTTTAAAGAAAATCTAATAAAATTTTTTTTCGAAGCGCACTTTAGATACTAATTAATTCTAAAGGTAAGTTTTGTTTTTTTTTTTTTTTTTCAAGTAGCTTTGTCTCTTTTAGACGCAAACACCACTATCTGCTAAATATATTTATTAAGGAAGAGTCAATCAAAAAGTGAGAGTCTTTGAACAGAGCAGCTTTAAATTTGAACACCGTGTTACGGCTGAGGAGGCAGTCCTATAAACCCTATTCCAGAACTCTTTGCGACATCCAATTTGAAATAAAAGTTTTAGCTTGACTCTTCTTTGAAGGAAGCTTGTTTAGTTTTCGCGAAACTTAATAAAGTTTACCAAAGAATTAAAACTGCTCTTATGATTGAAAGTATAAATGGGATGTAAATCTTTATTTTACTTCTCCCCAGATAATATTTCCAGTCCTTAATACGCCTTTTTTTGAAGACTATCCATGTAATTGGCTGCCATTCTGTGCTGTGTTACTGAAAAAAGTGTGCTTTAAGTAACTGTTCTAAATCCTGAAGGCGAGTTCTTGACATTGCAGAAAAGACTTCCACTTCATCTCTTTTTTAGCGGATTGAGGTGTTGATGTTACGGTCGTGCACTGCAACCCAAGAGATACAATGATTTTCTAAATAAAATGACAAGGTCCCCAATTTATTCAGTCTAATCGGAGCTTTCCATAACGACGTTACTGTCAGCGATATACAGGACTATTCTTTTTGATTCTGAACTGCATTACAAAGGATGACGGAACTAAATGCTGAGTCAGCGTAAAAGATCTCGCGGAAGTTGCATAGCCAGGTGCGTATTGCTTTAAACTCCTCGGCGGAACCGAGTTGTAGTCGAGGCAAGCGCAGTGTTTTGAATGCTGCCACTTAATACGAATCCCAGGCTTGAGGGAATTTGACATACCAAAATAAAGAAAGTGTGGCCTGTTGCGGAACATTCTGGTTTTTGGGCAGTGTCCAGTGGAGGAAAGTACAAACTACGGTTCATGTGGAAGTCCCTGTCGGCAAAACACGAATTCCAGGCTTGAGGGAATTTGACATACCAAAATAAAGAAAGTGTGGCCTGTTGCGGAACATTCTGGTTTTTGGGCAGTGTCCAGTGGAGGAAAGTACAAACTACGGTTCATGCGGAAGTTCCTGTCGGCAAAACACTCGCTAGCCTTCCCGAGGCTCCGCTATAACAACGTATCCTCAATTGAAGAAGACGCGCACCGAATCCAGGCATAATTCAAGAATAAACGTTACCTTAACGAAAAGCTTAACGGCAGCTTAATTACTGACTAATCTAACAACCGAGTTGCCGACTTTAATTTCATTATGATGCCGCTAGAGTGACAGATCAAGTTTCCAGAGGTCTCCATCTGGATGCGCTGGCTATTGATGAGTACTGAATTACAAAACTGGAATAAACGGACTATCGATGCTTTCGTTACAATGGTAAATAAGGATGAAGGTGCAGATGTCAATAACCTCTTTACAGTAATACGTTTATGGACAATAAATCTTATTACTTGTCAGTTCGTGAACAGAAAAAAAAAGCAAAGAATTATCACCCGAAGTAATCACAGCTGCGTCTCTAAAATATATCCTAATGGCTAAGCAGCACAAACATATACATATTTGATATCTTAGCTCAGATTTAACTCCAAGTAAAACTCACTACTGCTATGGAACTCTGCGGCTGCAGCTTCCAGACACATTGTCAAAAAATCTTCATACAATAGATTAGAGGAACCTAGTCTCAATAATAATTATGTAAAATTCGTTAGAGAATAAATTAGCGGAGATAAGTCACTAGCAATTTAGAGCAAATAGTGTATCGGCAAAGTGGCGATAGCGCTTCAACATTCTAAGCAAGCAGAATTTTACCTCCGTATTCACAATGGAAGCTATATTATGTCAACGTTGTACAGGTATTCAGTCTCCCAATGCCAAAATGAATGCTCAGAAATGCAAGCTCCGTTCAGTAATTAACAGAGTGGACGGCTAAGGAAATTATGAAGCAACTACTAGCTCAACTTACTATGCCGCAATTAACCTCTCATATTTACAAACAAAACGATTATTTACATTGCATCAAAATGAAAACGATGCGACTGCGCTTGCCGTTCTTGCTTGTCTATACGCCGTTCCCGGATGTGTAGTATGGCAATAATCATGAGCAATATTGAACAAACCGATATTAAAACAATGAGACTCTGGATAATCAGCTGAAATCAAGTCAGATAAAGGAAAAAGGATCAAAAACTGCTGGTTTGAATATGGTTGCAACATACTGCTGATTATGTTAAAATAGCGTAATGGTGCTATAAACAAAACTGATGAATAGAAAGCCCGTTTTTTAAACTGCTTTCTCAGAAACTTCTGAACAACCCTATAGCAACGTGTCAAGCATATGATCAAAACGAAGCTTCACGTTTTCCCTATCATAATCTCATACACGAGCAAGGGTAGGAGTTGCGTATTGACCCATTTGTACCGGCCCAATTTCTCCATGAACAGTGTCCGTTTTTAACTGCTCGCGTTTGCAAAAAAAAACTCAACTGCATTAGTTTAAAAAATCGTCGAATCTCTTCAAAAAACTTCTATTTACACCTAGCTGACGATTAGCCAGTTTGTTCAAATGAATTTGCAACAGATGTTTCGCACTTTCTCTCCTTCTCTTCTTCTGTTCTGTAATTTTTTCAAACCATCTTGTTAATTTTCAAACAGTCCACAGGCATTATACTTCTTAAAACGACCATCAATTTTTTAGAGTGAGCCTATATAAACCTACGCTTTCCAATGAATGAACGCTCTTGGAATTTTTCAATTCAAATTTAATAAGAAAACGAATAAATAATTTTTGAAGAAGAAATCTTGATATTTTCAGACTCCTGTTTTAACAAAATAGTCCGATTTCAGTTATCCAAACCTTACCCAGGCAAACGAATCTCACTTCACCGTACGTTCCACTACACATCCACCTCTTAAGATTAATTTCACTTCGCAACTTCAAAGCAGTCACATTTCCTGTGCTACAGGTATACGGATTAGAACAGACCAGACAAAATAAGGCAGCTCTCTTACAACAATAAACTACTTTTTATGCATTCGCCGATTTCTGTAATCTTAATGGCCTCTATCTGACTCTTTCAAATCAACTACTGTGGATTACTGCTATCTTATTCCATTTCCCTTAAATAAACCTTTTGCACTGACCACCGACAACTGAGTCCCTCTTCTTAAATGGAAGCTTTCACGCTTTACATTCGCTTGAACTTCGTATATCTCTCTTCTGATGAAATCAAAAATTTGGTAATATAAACGGGCCTGCTCAGAGTATAAATACTGCTTAGTTGCTTGATATAAAGCCATAGAGCTCCATGTTCCGTTTTTTTTCGTGTCCAATATTATGTCGGAGGTTCGTCAAAGTCTTAGTTAAAAAGATAGGTTTCTGAGATCCAAAAGAAAAAAACTAACGGCGCTGGGTGTGACGTAAAGTCGACTTTGCCAATAGATGCCATCACCCTGTGGTGGAACTACAATAACTCGTGAGTTTGGCACTAGCTGTTTAAGACTATAGCGCTGATTGTCGACTTTGACGGCCGAACGAGGAGAACCAACATGAACTTAAATTATCCAAGTGTAAAAGTTTCCAATACAGGTTCAATTCTCCAAAACAAAAAAAAAATCAAGAATTAAAAAGTGAAGTAGCCAATACATTTGGAGACGCACTGCATGTTACATCTACGTAAACATCATTTGAGCTTGAGTACCGGAAGAGGTGACGAATGAAATACTTCTCAATTTAAGCCGTTAAGTAGATCAGTTCCGGAAAGAAGAACTAACACCTAAATGCTCAAAACTACACTAAGTCCAGGTAAAAAGGACCTCCTCCTCATCTTCAAAGGTCTATCTTCCTTGTTTGAGGAACCTTTCTTCGCACGTCACACGATAGGCAGATTCATTCCACTCTCTCAAACGGGAACAAGCCTAGTGATCGTGACACAGAAATAAAAACAAAAGTTCCTTTTCTTCTGAGAAGCACTTTGCTGTAGCATTTACCAGCGACTGTCAGAAGCACTAAAAACACACAGATGCATTTTTAATTGCTACCTTCGCTCACCTCCTCTTCCTATTCCTTCTCCCTTGATTTCCCGCGGAAATTCCTCCTCCAAATTCTTCTGCAAAACCACCACCGATTGATTTAAATATCTTCTTTCTATAAAACCTGACCACCAGTGAACAGAGTATAAGCATTTCTGTTACCAGCTAAGTAATATCATGTTTCAAGACTGCTAGAAGTTTGAAAACGATTTGTAGACTGTTTACGCAGTGTACGTCTCCATTTGGCCACCATTTTATGTTCAAGGTTACATAGCAGCTAATGGGTACCGTAATCAACGAAATTTGGAGAACGTCCTAAACCAAATAAGGCAAAAGGCGCATAGAAAGTTCTGTGAGTTGTTTGAGGCATTTGACACTGTGTTCCTCTCTGCTCATGCCTTCGTGAAACTGTCATATTATAAGAAACACAAGCCCCATGCCAGGCAATCCCACTTCCTAAAATTGCCTTATAACTGTTACTCTTAAATGAATAATTCGTTTTTTAGTAGTTCTTGTTGAGGTTTTCTGACCGTATTGCTCACCTATTTTAATTTTTTCGCTGCCGCAGCCCGGGGGACAACTGCTGGAGAAAACTTCTACTTTCAGGAAAGTTGTATCTCCACCATCTGAATACCTGATGAAATCGATAGTTGTTGGTTTATTTTTCTTTTCTTTGTCCTCAGCAGCTACGTATTCCAATAAAACATCAAGAGTGCCATCTTCTTTTAAGTCAAAGAACGAAGCCATCTGTATTATACCAAGCGAAACCTCAGCTGGTTGTATTAAGCGAGGACTGGTGCGCAGGGTAAATGCTCTAAAGAGAACGAGGAAACTCGCAAAACCTAATCAGCCCAGAATACTGAAACGCAAAAAGAGCTAAATATTATCCTGACCTGCCTTCGTTATTGATACATTCGGTGCATTCTGTGTTTTCCAGTATCATGGGACTTTGCTGCGTTTTGTTTACAAGAACCAATAAATCTGGATAACCATCCAAAGTAAAATCTCCGACTCGGAAAACAACACTTACTGGCTGGTTAGACGAAATAATATTAGACCCCTAAAAAAAAATAAACTTTGAAATTGACGATAAGAACCTCGAAAAAATCTTCAGTTTTTCGTCCGAATTAACAGGAAAAAAACTGGCAAGCTGTAACAACTTACTTTAAAACTTGTGTGTGGAAACAAACCAAACATAAAGTGGCTATAAAGGCTAAAAACGTAAACAAAATGAACTACCTGGAAGGAAAGGAGAACTTACTTGAAGAGTAGAAATTGTACAGAGGCGCCAGTTATGATTAACCCACATTTGTATACTATCAACTTTTGAGCAGATCCTATCAGTACAGATCGGGACAGCAATATCTGTATAACCATCGGCATCAAAGTCAGCAAAAAGTGGAACCCCAACAAATCTGCCTTTCTCAATATCAAGCTTTTTGACAGCATTAGAGTTACGCTTCCAAAGTGTGCTAAAATAAAAGTAATTTTTTTCCAAGTCATAATCGCCATATCGAATTTTAATATTTAAATGATTGCACAGATAATCAAAGAGGTGGTCGTAAAACGGGTGGAGAATAAGGAAAATATGAAACCAAGAGATTACTAACTTCGAAACAGTTCGACTCCAAACATCTAATGTAAATGTGCTTTCATTTAGTTTCGCAAATATGATTTCTGAACTCAAATCTCCTGTTACATCTACAAAGGATATGGGAAATCCTCTCAGAAATTTGGGTGGCTCCCCTCTGAAATGCAATGTTCAGAACAGTTAAAAAGATATCAGACCAAATCAGTTGCCTCTATCTAACTGACAATGAAAGTATAACTGTACTTATAGAAGCAAGAATAATAGAAACAATACTCAAAATGGCTTTCGCAAACTGCGAAAGACCCGTTCTGTGAAGTGCCAAGACGGCAGAAGAAACTGCCGTCTTGAAGAAAACCTAGTAGATCACTCTTGCCATCCCCATCAACATCTACAATAGCAAGCTGGTCCGAAAACGTCTCTTCAAATTTATAAGGACTGCAACCGCTCGTCGTTATGTCAGTACAGGTAAAAACTATTGCCTTATATGTTAAATTCTGAAATGTCTTAAATTTACTAAACTAACGATCAGTAGCCAATCAGCAAGTAAATGTTCCTCTAAAAAGAAAGAAAAAGGTGAGTATAAATGAACTGAATGCATTTAAACAATGGTGCCGAAAGAAGTTTGCTGAGCAGAAGAGATACATTCTAGAAATGAAACTCAAGGAAACCTTAGATTTTTGTATCACCAATACATCAGGCAGTGCATCACCGTTAAAATCACCAACTGCACACGACACAACATCTCTGCCTACTTCTAAAGTCATAGATGTCTTTTCAAACCCACCTTCTTCAGTCTGAAATAGTTTTAGTTCATGAATAATTTCGTACCAAACAATAACACTGTTAAACAGTAGGCACTTCCAAAAGCGGAAAAAACAAAAAAGCAATTCGCCTAAGCTCCTCCTTTCCGGCCATCAAACCAAACTTTACGACTTTTACAAAAAATATCTCATAAACAGAATCACATTCAAAAAGTGAATAAAAGAACCACCAAAATTACCTGAGTGTAAAGTTTTAACTTGGTGTTCTCATAAATAAGTAAGTCTGTGTACAAATCACGATTCATATCACCATAAGCACAAACACTGCCTCGTAGTTTGGTTTCCTGCTCTGCGCCGATTTCATAACCCGGAGAGTACGGAAGAAAAAGTAGCAAACAAAGCAACAATACCGTCATTTTGCTGACTGAAACTGAATAAAATTTTCAAAAGTTCAATTACCACGAAATGAAGCTGTGATGAGATCTTAAGATGAGAAACCAGAAAAACTAGTTTCAGCCTCTGCTGAAAAAAACCATATAATTCAACTAGGGTTGGAGATAAATAATAAACAAACCATTGGCGTGTATGTTGCCTTTGTCCTAGGTGGCAGATACACTTTAAATCAGTGAAATGCAGATTTTGGAGACCCACCTAAAAACAAGCTGTAAAAAACTAAATAAAACTGCTGCGCCGTTAACGCCTTCAACAGTACCAAACCGAAAACAGTAGAACTTATTTTAAAACTGCTCTCACAAAAAAAGTTACCGCTGTCGCTGAAGGCATAAAATGTGTTACTTAAACAAACTGACAAACCAAACGACTTTACAGAGTTCTTCAGAAAACGCTGCACCTCAAGCAGCAATTTAGCTACCCATATATCAGTATTTAGGAATTGCTTGGGCTTAACACAATATGCGCAGAAACTAAAGAAAAAAAAAAAAACAAGCTTTTTAATTCAAAAGTCCTCATCAGTCGTCAACAAATAGATGCAAAATGTTTAGAGACATATCACTAATAATAAAGTTCCCTGGCGATGTGGTACAGTCATGTCAGTTTTTCAGAAGAGTACTTAATTCATAAAACAAATAACCAAAAATTCGAACAAGAAATATACCTCAATATATATAATAAATATATCAAGAAATATAAATATATCAGAAATATATCAAGAAATATAAATACAATATATCTCTTAGATGGTTACAATCAAGAGAATCCAACAACCCTTAAATAAGTCCCAATGACCATCTGACTTATAACGCCAAGTAAAACCCGTCATTAGAACATTTTTCCACCAACTTACTGATTAAAAATTTGCCCGCAGAACTAAAAACTAGCTCGTCCTTCATAACTGAACTAAAGTTGTTCATCCACCCAACTGCATCAAAATTCAATTCATCTATACATACATGACTCAGATGTCCATTCAGTCTGTTTAAACTTCACGCTGGCACCAGCAAAACAGCCATTACAGATGACGATGACGACACCCTGGTTAAAAAGCATGCTGCAAAGGCTTTTGGCTCCTTTCCAACAGTCCAAATACCACTATATATAGTGCAATATAATGTACTATAGTACATAAATGATATAAAATGATATAAAATAATATAATATAATATAATATAATATAATATAAT